GGGCGCGGGGGTGGTGGTGCTGGAGGTGCTGGCGGCTGAGGTCGGAGGCGTGGTCGGGGCGGCGCGCCACCTCGTACACGGCCTCGAGCAGCGGCGCGGGCAGGCGGCGCTCGCGGTGGCTCAGCGGCCGCACGTGGAACACCTTGCGACAGGCAAGAGCACGCGCGTCACGCCCATCATCTCAACAACCTTAGTCATTCCTCTTAGCATCTCTCGTTGCATTTATATTGCTAGAATATTAACATTGCATGGTACAGAAAACGGATCGAAAGAAAATAGAATGGACATGTACGACGAGAAGATCGAGGCGGAGAAAAGTTAGAAGGAGGAGGGAAACTAGAAGCCAATACCACGTCTAAGATGGAAGAAGAAAGAAAATTTAAGCAGGAAAGTGCCAAGTGGTGCGGTGGAGGAGAGGGCTGGTGGTACCTTGCGGTAGCGGCCGGGCGAGACGCACGCCCAGCGGTAGAAGGCGCGGCGCGCGCGCGGCGGCACCAGCGCGCTCAGCAGCGTGCGCTCCACCTGCGAGATGAGGCGCGTCTGCTGCTGCAGCAGCACCAGGTCGGCCGTCTTCTGCAGCCCCTGCACCACACCCACACTCAACCCCACGCCCGCGCCCACACACGCGTGGAGGAGGAACGGAGTGAAAGAGGGAAAGGAGTAGAAATTGGGCAGGAGACAGAGGAGTGAAGGAGTAAAACTGGAAGAGTAGCAGACAGGTAGGACATATTTCACGGCCGACTCTAGCATTAAAGCTGGCCAAGGTAGGAAAATAGTTCGGAGTTGTCCTCCTCCTCCTCCTCCTCCTCCAATATTCGTCCTGCTCCAAACATCCACCTCCCATTGCGGGAATGCTAACGAACATTCACACGCACGTATGTATGCCTTTTAAAAATATTTGTTCCCTTTATTCATTTCATGTGGCGAAATTGATGCAATAAGGCCTGTCCTTCTAGAACCTAGACGACTAATTTGGAATTCAAAGGGTGATGGAAACGCTGGCCAAAATTTGCCAACTGTAGGACAGTATTGCTGTAAATTACGAAGCTCCTTCACAAAATAACGTTTTCGAGTTGTGCACAAGAGTAACGTATGTCGCTAGGTAACTTGTTTTGCGGATTGCATTGGTATCTTCTCATTTCTTCATAGTTTATTCTACATTTTTGTCTTAAATATTTTTAATGCAATCTAGAAGAAAATTTCTAAATTAGCAGTAGCGTTTACTGTTTTGGGGTCGACTGTGACTTTGGAACAAAACCGATAAGTTCCTTATCGTATTGTTATAAAGAGGGGATTCTACATCAAACCCAACGTACAAAGTTTTCGAAAGTTTACAAAGGCGGTATTAGAACGATCTGAAAACCATTAGAAAGATACAGAACAGTCATTGCGGAGTAGACCCCCCGTCTGTAGGGCACAAATATACCAATGGTCAGGTTTTGTTACGACTTTTTTTTTCAAGTTTCAAAACTAATTCTTTTTACATGAGTGTACGAAACAGTCCACGTACTCTGAATACCTACTTTCGAAAACACACCATCGATAAAATAAAATCACAAGAAATCTTGCATTCGCTTAACCCTTCGCACACCAAGAGATGTACACGTGTATCCCAATTTCACTTTCTTACATGTTTGTACGTTTCGCTTATTTTCTGATAGTGCATTTTCGTTACATTATCCGAAATACTTCCGCTGACAATTATGTCTTAAAGAAAGTAATAGTTTTAAGTTGTTTTACGTTTTCTACTTAAAAACTAGAACTGGGGTGCATTTGTACCCGCTTGGTATGGCGTGTCACAAACTTTTATTCCTTATTAATTATTAGAAAGAGATAGAAAGAGTGGAACAAGATTTAGTAAGTGTTCGTCACTTATATGTAATGAACCGTCAGATATAAAAACAATAAAAATATGTATCAGTTGCCTAAAAGACGAATGACCTTGAAAGAAGTATTTTCATAAAGTATATTGGAGTAATAAAAGAGAAACAGTAATAAAGTTACTTAATTCTTTTAAATTTGTCGTTCATTATATATTAACTGCTCAAAATAACAATTTTTTTTATATTTTAGCAAGTCTCTCATATTTTAAAGAAATTTTGCATAATATTCGAGTGGGGTACACGTGTACCACGTTTGGTATGTGCAGTGATAAACAAAAGATTTCACTGGCAATGCATTGGGAGAACGGCTCTTGACAAATGAAGTAGTCAACGCCCAAAGAATCGTCACCTAATTCGCTATTCGTCAAGCGCTATTCGAAGGCGGAATGATAAAAAAGCTGTATTGAAAGAATATATTTAAGGAAAGTGAATAAATCCATTTTACTACTAAGTAATTGCCCCATGGCACAATGAACTCTCAATTTATTCTCTCTCATAGGATTTAATATTGTTCTAATTTCGACAAGATGAAATCATGCACACAATTTTTGGAAACCACAATTTGGGGGTTAAACAGAATAAAATTTAGGACAATTTAAGGGCACGATGATAAAAATTTTAATTAATATTTAGAAGCTTAATACGAATAAAACGACATTTTCATATTCCTCATAATATATTTCTCTGACTGGAAAAAATAAATCCTTTTTCTCTAAAAAAAAAAAAGTCTTTTGTAGCATTTTTGCCAGGTCCCAAAACGAACATCACTATTTTCATTAGGTAGCCAACTGAAGGGCAAACCACAGGTTCACGAGCCTACACCAAACTACGTAAGGTCAGGGGAAATTGACAAACACACACATACACATATTTTTGCTCCCTTCATCCACCTTGCAAGGTTGAAAAAGCAGTAATATATTAAACATCTTAAACGAGAGAATACTGTGAAATACAGGTTTCGCCGAAAACCATTGTCTAATCACTGGCCCATATCTGAGTTCTTTAAAACGCAATCCATAATAGATAGCTGGAGGAAAGAACCAAAGAAGGAAATTAATTGCGGGTCATTCTTCGTCCCCAGTTACAATTCTAGTGCTGTAAAAACACCGGTGACCATTTTTCTTAGATATATAACCAGTAAAGGAACTTCATAACCACTTTCATATTTTATCATGGTGATTTATGCATGAAGGGAGTTACAAGGGCTCTGATGATGGAGCGGCTTCAGCCCGGAAACTTTTGGCTGGAGTCTTCAGTTAACTCTCGTAGTACAAGATTTACTTTTTACCATTTTAATTATTCAGATTTACGTATTTACTAATTAACTAGATTAGGTTTGTCTTTTCATATTCTCTCCATAAGTAAACATGTAGCAACTGGACATGCAGCATCTTTTAACTGTTTTCATATTTCTTTCCTAACAATGATCCTCTCAGTTCAGGTCCATTACGCAGGGTGTGTAGGTTCTCCGTATCGAAGGCAATAAAACAGAATAAGACACCAATACAAAATAAATATGTTATGAGGGAATTATGGGAGGGAAAATGATGAGACAAACCTACTCAACTTAACATCTAGTTAACTAGTAAATAATTAAATGTGAATAATTAAAATTAGGTACAAATAAAATCTCGCATATATCACAGGTGTTAACAAGTGAACTTTGGCGACAAAAAGCGCTCGGGCCAAAGGCCCGCGGGCTCTTTGTGATCGCTCGATCATTAGAGCCCTTTTAATGCAGGTGGTGCATAAATATTATATTCGTATTGCATTCAACTGGAATAATAACTATCATTCCTACATCTTGTGATCAATGTCGTTCTTAATTATGAAATTCCATATTGCAGCCCTAACAGAGGAGAGGTAATCGCTGTCAAATCCGCCAAATATCAAAATTGACTCTAAATCACACTGATCGCTAAGCCAATGCCCTTGTCAATAGACAACTTAAATGATAACCTTTTGATATATCATAAATCAAAAAATAAATATACCAATTGTGTTGTATTATACGTACGATTAAAATATGTGTGTTTTTTACAGCACTAAAAAAATACTCTGTATCTGTACGGCCTTTTATCTCACGTTCATTTTTCAATGATTTGTCAAATATACTTGCAATAAAAAAGTGCAAATCACTCATACCGGAAGAAAAATTACTCAAAAATGCGAGTTTCAGAGATGACAAAAATACGCTTTACATCTATCGCTCTCCTCAGTCCCCAACACAATAGCGTAGAACCATGCTCAGTCGGAATAAAAAAGAATTGCGAGTCATGGAACCTAATCAACAAATTGAATTCAAAATAGCGATGTGAATAGGGGACTGAAATGTGAATCATCTTACCATCAACTTGGCATAATTCACCCAACCATCTTTCATGCTGTGGAAGGCAAAAACAAACCACCGGTAATCGCCTATAATTCACGAACGTGGTCAACCCAAACACAAGTCTCCTTCTTCGAGGCTCAGATATTAGAATGGTACACACTACACTAAGCGAACAGTCAGACGAATAAATGGACTCTTTTTCAGAATATTTATCCGAGCTTAAAAATTGGATATAACCGTTTCCTTCACGTAATTATTACCTGGGAACATGAACTCGCAAAATTGTAACTTCTATTTCTTAGCTATCACATATCATACAACATATCGGCCATTCCCTTCTTCCAGAGAAGGATGTCATTGGTTTATTCCCAATATAGAGACCAAAGCATGTAAATTATCAAAAGAAAATTGTAAGACAAATATCAATATCTATTCAAAATGTTACACATAACATAATATTTATAATTATTTTTAGTGCAGATTCCTAAACCACACTTTGTTATACCTTCAAAATCGGAATATATTATTCCAAACTCTCTTCCTATACCACACCATACGTCACACAGGAACCTTGAAGTCAACGGTCGGAAAGAGGCCAGCTTTCCTCGAACTTTTACAAGGTCATCTAGATTTTCGTTTAAGGAATTAGAGGCAGTTTTCCGTGAGCAATATTAGTTTTTGATATTTCCAAATCCTAAGACATAATGTCATCGTTAAAATCATATTTTGTAAGAATGTTATTTTATCATTTAAAGAACATTCGATATCAGTCTTATCAACCAGAAAAGGCATACATACGTACTTGCATAATAGTCAATGAATGTTTATTAGAATTAGAAATGAAGGGCTGAAGGCAGTGCCAAGATAAGACACGCAGCAACAGCAATCCTCCGTCTTGAGACACTGTATGTTTTGTTCATATTTATGAATTGGCTTGGAGCAGTAACAAGATGAGAGACACTTCGACCAAAAAGGGGATATTAACATTGACGAATACAGGGAGATTTCATGTGGCTGATGTAGCTTATTTCGTTACTACACCAAACTCTTCAAATATTTGTTTAAATATTAAACAGATTCAAAGAAAATTATTTGCTAACTCATGGAAAATATGTTCGATCTCTTATGACAACATAGAAAACGAATCGCGAGATTCTTAACGGAAAAATGCATCACTTTGCGACGTCTACTATTTCGTAATTTCTTTTTACGTAATTTCAATACTTATAAGTCATGCAATTTAATTGTGAGAATACAATTAGCAAAAGCTTGAATTAGTAGGTGGAATAGTCCAAGTCATTTCAAACGACCAATTTAAAAAAAATCACTCCTACAAATGATATAAGATGTAATGAGTACAAGTACATGTACTTTTTATGTTTTTTAGGATCTAATCAAGGTAAGTATCCCGAAGGTATCAAGCACTCTCATATTCTAGGACGTTTCGGAAAACGAATCACGAGTATTTTTCAAACACTGCATCAACTTTGTGTCTCAAATGATAATGCAAAAGTTTCCGAATAAAAGTAAAATATTCTCAATAAGAGATTTGCATCAGTTTATCATTCGAGTTTTCAGAAAACCACACTGGTTGACACCCAATACTGATCCAAATTTAATACAAATTGCGTTATATTTTTTCAAAACAACATCACATCCTAGACCCTGCTATTCTAAGATTTAACACATTTTCTCGTAATGAGTTAGCAATTTTAAACAAAGAAAATGAGGCTAGCAAAAAAATTATTCGCAGTTACTGCTGATGAATTCGGTTGACTGTATGTATTTTATACTCGGGTGTTCCACTATAAAGATCGCGAAGGCGGTAGAGAACGTAGTATTTATGTATAAAATAACGATATAATTTAGCAAATTATAAATTTAATTCACGAATTGCTTGGAAGTTGAAAATTTCCTTATTAAAATGGATAAGTTGCAAAACCGCTCTTTTAAATTTCAGTACAGTTAACATAAAGAAAAAGATATCCAATTTAATGCTACAATTTACTGAAGATGACTAGCAATGGGTGCAAGTAAATGAATGTCTCGTTATCTTTATAGAATACGTAATGAGACCTTTTTTTTATACTTCGCAACTACTTTCACAGTGATTAATAGCTCTATCAGGAGAACATTCTTTCATAGATCCCAAGCGACTGTGGATATACAATCAAATCTCTGAATTGAAATGTGTAAATGGCAAGTATCCTACTTTCCTTTTGACATACAAAAGAACCGGTAACAGTGAATTTCAAAAATGTAAATGACATACATATCGAAAACTGAACAGTTGATCGGCATTATTAGCAGAAGAAAAATAGAAAGTGAATTTGATGTTTCTGAAAATCGATGGTAAATTAAAATATATTTCTGAATTTAGGAAATGGAAAAGGTGCACATGACTAACGTGTTGCTGAAGAAATTATTTTTATACGAACGAGGTCTATTTGTGCTAGCTTCACAAATTGTATTGACAGAGAGGCAATATCCAAACAGTGCTAGATCTGCACACGCGATGAAATGCAGATAATTTCTTCCTAGCCCCATACACAACGGATCGCACCGAAGACGGCTCTAACCTGAATATCATTGACTGCCAAACCAACAAGCAGATTCATGAGCACGATGGTGATAAACAGCACGAAGATGACGAACGTAATCTGCGACGTGCCCGTCAAGCCGCCCTTCACGTTCTCTAAAAACGTGTTCTGAAAGAGGATCTCCCCGGACATCATCCCGGTGGCCCGGACGATGCCCATGGCCGGGTTGGCGAACTCCGCGAGGCCCGGGAACGCCGCGCAAAACACGAACACGAAGCCCAGCAGCAGCGACAGGTACGCCGCCAGCACCTTCACGAACAAGCGCAGCACGCTCATGTACATGGCCACGTACGACTCCAGCTGCGGCAGGTGGCCGATCATGCGAGTGAGCATGAAGAAGGCCAGCAGGAGGGTGATGGCACCCAGGTGGTCCCGGAAGCACTCCTCGTAGCGGTTGCACTCCTGCGCCAGCAGCAACACGCACACGCCCAACGCCACCACCCACTCCAGCACGTTGTCGAGGTGGCGCGCGTACTCCCGCAGCGACTCGTAGCCCCCCACGCCGCAGATCTTGCGCAGCACTTCCATCAGCGCCAACACCACCAGCAGCCAGTACGACGACGCTTTTATACTCGGGTGATCCACTATAAAGATCGCGAAGGCGGTCGAGTTTTTGCATAACGAAAGATGCGATACCTCGGGGGTGCAGTTTTCACTCTTCGCTTGTTCGCGCCGTTGGTGGTAGTGAATTGTGCTAGAAGAGATAACGTATATAGTCAAGAACATAACCAACAGGATGTAAAACGCCATTTTCACTAAGTAGAACTTCATTATCTTCTGCCACTTGTAATGCAGGAAGGCTTGGCACAGCGGGTGCTTGAGGACGTCCTTGTGCCCCTCGTCCAGAAACGTTTTCAGGTAGGAGATCTCCGCGGGCGACGTGGCGTCGATGAGCGGCCGGAAGTTGAGGCTGACGACGACGTCCTCGTGTCCGGCGTAGGAATCCTGCGCGGAGGTGGCCGAGTCCAGAACGGTGGTGTTGGCGTCTTGAAGGCCGATGGCGTTGTCCATCTTCTGGTAGAGCGCCTTGAGCGAGCAGGGCATCTTGCGCACGATGGCGGCGAGGGCGGTGGCGCCGCCGCGGGTGCGCGCCGTCACGTCCGCGCCGGCCAGCAACAGCGCGCGCACGCTCGCCGCCAGGTCGTTGTTGGCGGCCACGTGCAGCGGCGTGTACTCGTAGCGGTCGCGCGCGTTCACGTCGGCGTGGCGCTCGATGAGCAGGCGCGTGATCTCCACGCTCTCCAGCGTGCGCAGGTAGTGCAGCGCCGTGCGCCCGTCCGAGTCGCGCGCGTCCACGTCGCACGGCGCCGCCAGCAGCGCGCGCACGCAGCCCGACGAGCGCGACTGCGCCGCCAGGTGCAGCGGCGTCTGGCCCTTGCGGTTGCGCGCGCCGGCGTCCGCCCCGCGCGCCAGC